ACACTCTACAGAATAGAACTGACACTGTGCAGATTAGAACTAACACTCTACAGAATAGAACTGATACTGTGCAGATTAGAACTAACACCCTACAGAATAGAACTAACACTGTGCAGATTAGAACTAACACCCTACAGAATAGAACTAACACTGTGCAGATTAGAACTAACATGCTACAGAATAGAACTAATACTGTGCAGATTAGAACTAACATTGTGCAGTTAGAACTAACACGGCGTAATATATAAGAACTAACATGAACTGTGACAGAACTAACATGACTTATGGTATGTCTAAATTGATGCTAACTAGAACTAACGTGATTCATGGTATAACTAGCATGGATTACACAAGATCTAACATGAATTTTAATCAAAACTAACATGGTGAAATTAGGAATAACATGTTCTTACAAGAAACAACACTGATACCACTCCATATCCTTTGTCATATGTCTCCTAGCTAAGCGTGTCCAAAACTGCTTATTCCACCTGTAATTGTTATGAAACATTAAAATTCAATTTAAACAATATAATTTGAATTATTAAGCAAGTAGATGTTAACCTTGTCGTCAAGGCGGCCACCACGAAGCACATATAACAACTCTTCCATGTTAATACTGTTGTTGGTTGTTACTATAACATTATATCTCCTGGTATAAATTAGAACTAACATGAATTAGAACTAATATGTGGAAAATTAACGTATAAATAGTCAACTGAAACTTACCTGTGAATCTTCTGAGAACAAAATTTGGTTAGGCTCTCAATTTGAGCTTTGTCGAGTCTGTCTGCTACTGGAGATGGTATCTTTAAATTATGTACAAAAGCACCTGTGCTATCTATTATGCGTAAGTTAAACAATGTAGGGTCTGGAAGCTCATTATTCAGCTCTTCCAATAGAGCTACCTCTTCATCTGTCATTGGCTTCAAACTCAACGCATCCCAAGTGGGGATTTGATTACCGGGGTAAAAATGAGTAACTTTGTCAGCTAGTTTTACTTTTGGTTCAGGACTTTCAAGTATATCTATACATTCTTTTTCATTTTTCTTTCTTTTGCCTTCAGTATATGGAGTCCTCTTCCATTTAGATCTCCTGCTTACCCTTCTTGGCTTTGGTCTACGCTTTGCTTCCACATTGCTCGTTAGAACTGAAACAAGTTCGTCCACATCATGTTTAATATTCACAAGATCCTCTTCCTCCTGTGCTTCCAACTTATCTACATTCTCCTTCTCTTTATTTACAATATCTTCCTCCTTATCTACACCATCAACATGATCCTCATCAAAACCTTTGTTATCTACAATAAAATTTTTATTTTCTATATGCTCCTCGTCCTTATCTACCATATGCTCCTCTTCCTTATCTACAATATCTTCCATATGCTCATCTTCCTTATCTACCATATGCTCCTCTTCCTTATCTACAATATCTTCCATATGCTCCTCTTCCTTATTTACACTATCCTCAACCTTAGTATCTACAGTCTGGTCAACCTTACTATATACCCCCTCCCCTGGAGAAGTAACTGGCTCCTCTTCTATTGCCTCATCGTCAGCAAGATGCTTTACATCCTCTTCAACAATCTTATGTACATGTTCTTGCATGGTGGGCTCTTCCTTATATACACTGCTTGTTTTGGACTTCTGCTCCTCTTGAGCTTCCCGTCGCTTCTTCCTAATTCCATTTGCATTTTTCTGTTTGATATTTGACTTAAGCAGTACCGGGTCTATAACCTCATCATGTCTTCCACATTTTTCAATTATCCTGTTAAGCCTGTTGATCTCAATCATGAATTCTTTATAATATTTGCTCTTGGTCTGCTTTGTAGCAACAAGAAGTCGCTTGAGAAACTTAGCAGAATTTCTCCAAAATGTGAGTTGCTGCTCAATGGGAAGAACATTGATCTCCTCTTCATCGTCAAAAGCAACGTCAATATGCTTTGCCATGATCTGTTATTGATACAAGATTATAATTTTAAGAAGGATTAAACATAATTAGGATATTCTTTGCAGTTAGTGTGAAATGAGTACGACTTAACATAACAGGATACTTACGTAACCTATTGAGAAGTTCTTAGTAGTTTCTTCCTGGAAAGCCTTCCTCTTTGCCTGACGCTTTTGCTGAAGAACTTCATCCCTGAACATGACCAGGAGAAGCGACCTCCGCAATAGGCCTATGGACAAATGTTATTGACGCTGACTTAGCCTTTGAAATAATTGTCGGCATCCTCATAGATGCGATTTTCTCCTCCCCTGATGCCCAATTTGTTATTGGAGGTCTGGAGGTCTCTAAGAGGGCATATTTCTTTATGCCTGTCATCTCGTAGTACCAAAGTTGTACCAAATATATTTACCATTAACATTTAATACTAGACTAGACCAAAGAGAATAAAATATGGCTGCATCTAGAACTAACATGGTGTAAATTAGTACGTGGTACGACATGAATTATGATAGAACTAACATGACCTATGATAGAACTTACATGGGTGCAGATAGAACTAACATGGTATATCTTAAAACTAACAAGGTGCAGATTAGAACTCACACGAAACAAATTAGAACTAACAAAATCTGCAACAGAACTAACATGGTGTAGATTAGAACTAACATGGTATACATCAGAAGTAACATAGAATAAGTTAGAACTAACAATGCATAGGTACGAACTAGAATGAAATAACAATCAGTAAAATATGGAACTTATACACAATAGTGTCATGCAACCTGGGACATATGCGACCCTTTGCTTCTTCTTTCCCTCCAAAGCAACTCCAATGCCCCTGATAATTTCATTATAAAAGAACTTGGCCCATGCAACAGAATTGACCCTCTGAATGCTATCCAGGTACCTGAGTAAGGGTCTAGGGATACCTTCCCCTGCTATGGGACTCCATATCATAGAGCATTGGTACAAAATTTGTAGCAGAACAAAGTCCTCGATATCCCGCTTTTTTGTAGATTCAACTAGCCGTTCAAGTAGCCCTTCAAGATGTTTACGTTGGCTGGTTTCTGATTTTTTTAACTTCTTACCCTCTTCAGAAATGAAAAGCTTAGCGAAGTATTCCAGCCATATTCTGCTTCTTGAGTCCCTATTGTTCCTTATGTCCTCCCCATAAATTGGGAAATAAGTATGGTTATGGACCCATTGCAAATCAAAACTAATATTTTTCATACACCCACTTTTTGAATCAGGTATACAAAATGTGTTATTATCTCTGTCGAAAAAGCTCAGTAGCAGCTCAAGGGTGGGCCGATCAGGCGCAGGAGCCCCAAATAGAATGTAGTGCTGAAATATAGAACCGCAGTATGCATCCCTATGCCACTGACGGATCTTCGGGGCAATGCGCTTCATAAATCCCCAATAAGCCCCGATATTGGCCGTTAACCTTAGTGTTTCTGCTGAGCCTGTTAGAGGATATTGGCCGTTAACCTTAGTGTTTCTGCTGAGCCTGTTAGAGCAATTTTTTCCCTGCAAAAAGTTTTTGAATTTGTAAGTTCAATAAGACATATGAACTCATATTAGACCTAGCACTAACGGGAACAAAATAGAGCTAACACGTAGCGTTATAGAACTAACATCGGACTCAAACTAGAACTAACATTGGACTTAAACTAGAACTAACATTGGTCTTAAACTAGAACTAACATTTGACTCAAACTAGAACTAACATTGGACAAAGCCTAGAACTAACAATATTAGACCTAGCACTAACGGGAACAAAATAGAGCTAACACGTAGTGTTATAGAACTAACATCGGACTCAAACTAGAACTAACATTGGACTCAAACTAGGACTAACATTAGACTCAAACTAGAACTAACATTGGACTTAAACTAGAACTAACATTGGTCTCAAACTAGAACTAACATTTGACTCAAACTAGAATTAACATTGGACAAAGCCTAGAACTAACAATATTGGGGTAATTTGCATTGTCTCTTCGTGGTATAAACCCGTATTCTTGAAGATTAAACCTAGCGATTGCTGTTGCCGAATACTGAAGATTATAACACTTACTGTTTTTTTGAGGGGGGTTTGTTGGTACGACCAGCCATTGCCGTCCTCCTTTTCTGGTCTCGCCATTGTAATGCCTTCTTTTGCATTTCGATTAGGGTTTTCATAGCTTCCGTAGCTTCCTCCGAGCTGCCACCCACAGATGAAGCGCCTTTTCCTTCCAACTCGGCTCGGTGAGCGACCTCGTAGTCGTTACTGGATCCTTCCATAGACGACATTTTCCCGGCGAAAACCCTAGAAACGTTGAAATCCGTACAGAAATTAGGAAGATGAAGAGTTCTTGATGATGGTGCTAGGTGGAAGAGAGAGAAAGAGAGGGAGAGTACTTGTAAAGGTATGGGGCGCATTAACCCAGCTCAGTCCCATCAGAGGGCAAGATCGTAACTTCCTTTGGGCTTTTTCTGAAAAAAGTCGCATTAACCCAGCTCAGTCCCATCAGAGGGCAAGATCGTAACTTCCTTTGGGCTTTTTCTGAAAAAAGTAAAATCGGGGCCTCGTCGCAAATACTATGCATATTTGGGGCTTTTCCACATGGGGCAAAGTACAAGGGGGCTAGTCACATGAAGTTCCCACTTTTGGGGCCTGGACACAATTTTCCCTATTTAATAAATATTACTAAATATTATATTAACTATAATATAGTATAGTATAGTATAATATAGTACATAGTATAATAATAATGTTCATAATAACTCTAAGTTAATTACATTTAATATATTATGTTAGATATTATATTAACACATTATCAAACTCAAAACCAAAACATCAAACTTAAAACACCTTTTAGGTGTTTTGAAATAAATGTTATGTTTTTGGTTTGAGGATGATTTAACTCAAAAAAAAACCATAGTTTCCAAACACATAATGTTTTATTTTTGACAAAAACATAATGAAAACAAATAAAACACCATGTTATCCAATTAGAACCCTAATTTCTCACAACAGGATCCGCAACATGGCAAGATTGGCATACCGAACATATTAAAGTTTTGCATTACTAGCGCAAGGGAGGTGAATTATATTTCGTCAAAAAATAACTGTGCATGACCGTACAACCTGAAGACCCAGAAGTGTTAACACATCTTTTTTAAATTACCTCAAAAGAGAATATTGAGCAAAATAATACCAACATTATACAAGAACAAATTGACCGTTTCATGCTCGGAAACTATACAAACGCTTTCCCACCTATGAAGTTCACAACCTTAAAAGTTATCTTTTGCTTGCCGGATGATGCCCAAGGCTTGTGAATCACTCGCCGTCTCCGGAATATTCAACTTCTTACGGATTTCCCGACTGGCTGTTCTCAGAAATGGATTGCAGCTTTTCTCTCTCCTTAGAGTTGTTGGAATCTATAACATCAGCAAGCAATCATGGGTAATTATCTGAAGACATCAAAATAAAATGGCAGTTTGACTTTATTTGAAAGATGTGTCTCCAATTGTGGCAATTGTTCGATTTAACCCGGGTTTAACAGAAGGATCTATCTGCAACAATGTAACTACATGGATAGTAGGTTCAAAAGAGAGATTCTACAGGGGACCTCTGCGCAATTAACCCTTTATTTGAAAGGTATGAGTCTGCGCTTTTCACTGGAATCAGGATTCAGAGGATTATGAATGCACTTACTGTTGGCAATTTCTTATTGCGGAGATGGGTGACATGAGCTGCATATTCCTGCAGTTCTTCATTATTCGGCTCTATGGATAATGCAAACTTTGAATTACTCTGTTGACAAAGATGATGATATTCCATTAGCCAGAATAAGCTGTTAAGATAAATTCAAAGAGTTAACAATGACAAAACTCTTTACCTCTGTATATTCATGGCCACAGTATACACATGTCTCGTCTGGCAAACTCAAAATCTTCTGTAGTGAAGTGAGCATCTACATAAAGAAATATCCCACCATGTTATGTCAAAAATGGTTGGATTCGCACGAAAGCAGACGCTTCATTTACTAATACAAGCAACTTTAGACAAAGTACAGACACAAACAATTTACAATAATGCCTAGTAGGAATAACTTGGATAGACAAAATACTGCCAATATTGTTTACATAAAGAAGCCAATTACAAAGACACAAAAGAAACACGTGCTGCATCTGACTATTACGCTAAAAAAGCTTCTTCCTTTTTTCTTTTTTCTTTTTTTTGGGGGGAGGGGGGGGGGGACACAACACCATTCTAGAGTTCAGTACTTATGAAATGATATCATGTTGACATCAGGTTTCTCTCAACCCTTCAAGAGCGATGATAATGATATGGAGAAATACTATTGAGTTAAAAGAAGACTGAACGATCAGGCCTTCAGTATTACTGATGATGATAAAGAATAAACTATCCGTGCATCAATTTTTTCAACACACGTATTGTCATTGAACATTACAGTAACATACTAGAAAATTGACTCAGATTTTTATGATGTATACTATTTTTCAGGGCTACCTTCAAAAAGTTTACCGCATGATAAATGACAAGCATACCTGTTCAGGGCTACCTTCAAAAAGTTTACCGCATGATAAGCTAAACAAGGTGTCCCCAGTAAATACAGCTCCACTTCCTGGAAAGTAAAAACTTACATGACCTGTTCAAAGACCCATGAATTAATAGATTGTCTAATCAATACAGGTTTAAAGGGAAACCCAGTAGGCATAAGTAATACGTCAAAAAATTTCTTTTTCAAGTAACTTGGAACAAGTTATTGATTATA